AAGCATCAGATTGAGAAAGAGATTGGTCCGTCCACCAAGTGTGATGCCGTGACAGGGTGGAGATGGTTGATGAGTTGTCCCTCGCTCGCTTCCCGAAAGGAGCTTAAGAGGCACCAGAAGCATGAGGCGACGGGCCAATTGCCGCCGCAGGCCTGGGGCGTGTGGGAAATCGGGTCCCTGCAGGCCTGCAGAGCGTCCTGCACGCTTCTCAACTTCGAATGTGGTCGAGCTGTCGAGGTAACCAAATGTGCCTTACATCTTCACATCCCTCCTCTCACAGTACTCGCAGGTGAAGACAACTGAGTGGTTAACGTAGGAATACCTGGTGTTGTCTGTCCAGACTACAGTGCCCTCGTGGCTCATGTGCAGTCCTTCTGTTGCAACGGGGCTGGAACCACTCAGCGGGATAGAATGCACCACACATCTCGGCCCCCATGTCACGTCTGCTCTTCTAGCTGTTTGAACTCGGTCAAACGCTGCATTGTTAGAGGTCCGATTCCTCACCGCCGTTATGTCGTCCCGCGCAGCCGTTTGCTCAGCGTTGGAACCTGTCCTTGCCTTGACCCTGCGTGTCCGAAACGGTTCCCCTTTGGCCATTGTCTTTGTCGACTTCCTACCCATTCCATTCCTATGGGTATCTCGACATGAGGATACTGTTCACTGTGTTCAGATATCCATCATACCGGCCGGGGTCACTTCGATATCTCGATGCCTTTGCCATAACCTTGTCTATCGCTCCGAAACACTCTCACCCACCCCGGTCACTCCCAGCCCCTCGACCCATATAGATAGATAGTCTTACAATCTTCCTTTGCCACAAAGAGACCAACTTTCCGTCTTTTCTCTATTATCCCTTTCGTACGAAAACAAGGTTTGACAAGCATTTCTTCCCTCTCCCAACCTCCCCTCTCTCTGATCACCTCACAAATGCAATTTGCAAATAGACGCCAGACGCCATCGGGACGGGCTTTTCCCACTTCTGTCACCTCTATCCACCTGTGCTCAAACGGGATCCCCTGGAAACCGGGCCCCCACAGCACACCAGAGGTGGGACTTGCGTGGGCTGGCTCGGGCGCCTGTTTCCAAGAGTGATGTTTCCCGTCTTGAAGTGCTAAACCAAAGCCAAGTGGGTTCAACCTCTTTTTTGGCTGGGCGACGGGAGGATACCGATCATCCACTAGACAAGGGTCTCATCGTCGGCGCCACGAGAAAATAGTCTCGAGGTGAAAACCGAAAATAAAATTGGCACGGGGAACCTTGCCGGGACAGAGCCACCACTGACGGGAAGTCTGAGTGACACTTTTGACACTTTTTTTTTTTTTTTTTTCGACCTGGCGGCACGCTGGCTTCTTTGTGACGAGGTATTGATCAAGACTTATTCGGAAGATCATGATTGAACCTCGAAATTAAACGTCTGAAACATTTTCGTCCGTCTGTTGCAGACGGCGCCGCCTTGTGAACCGGGCAACGAGTATGACTTTCCTGCTGCCCCCCAAGACCTTTCACTTGAGTCCGAGCTCGAGCTCTTCCACACTTGCAACATCGAATGACGTTCGTACGTCATCTCACAAGAACAAGCCGCGGCCCCCAGAAACACACGGACGCTGCTACAAACAGGGGATACGATATTTCAGCTATCCGATGTGCCGATTCCCATCCCTCCTATCACCGCCTCCCGTTAGTGGTCACTGTCTCAGTCCTTCATAGAGAATCGAGTGCGCAGTTTAGGTAAGTCGAGTAAAGGGGGCAAAAAAAAAAAAAAAAGATTGAAACACAATACGGGTAAATCGCCACTGCAACCAAGCGAAACGGTACTCCAAAAACCCGCGCACCTCAGCTCTCGTCTGCTTCGTTCGACCCCACGAGGCCTCGAAAAAAAACGGAATAGTCCGATTTGTCCACGTACTCCAACCGGCGGTGGCGAAGGCGCACCTCGACGGGGTGGCCCAGACTCGATGGACTTTCCACTGCTCCTCCGTCTGGGGTCGGCGGCTCATGCCGGTCATCCCGCTTCCCTCCCCCGACCCGACCACGCCCGTTTGTAAAGGTATGTTGAGTGGTCAAGACAGGTTGATGTGAGTGCATCGAGATGGGTTCGAATTCGAAGCCATAGGAGCACGCTGCATATCCAGAGTCTAGGGGCTTTCACGGTTTCAACTACCTACTCACTGCGAGCCATTGGACTGCATCGCTGCCCCGTCTCTGCAATTGTCCTGCAAGTCAACTTGAGCGGGATTTCATCAGCGCCGTCTGTCGTACATGTACGGATAGTTGGCCTGGGTTCACTTTCGTGGCCCCCAAAATGGGCAGCATCACCTTCCGTTTGTCGCCGCTCAAAAGTTCTCCCTGAAACGAATGCCACCCGAACATGTTGCCTCCAGGACACATACATCGGCATCCCTCCATAGCTTCTTCATTGGGTATCGGCCAGGGACACTCTTTCTGCCGCCCTCCCGCTCTCTTTTCCCCCTCCTCTCCAGCTCGTACCCGACTGACCACCAACGCTACATCAAATGGCAACCGTATATCCACCCTGCTGTGCGACATGTGAACGCCGCCCCCTGATGGATAGGTGCAGTCGTTGTGTAGCGCCGGCGGCGTAAGTCTTCCATTGAAAATCAAACCTGAATGGTGTGAAGAGAAATCAAAGAAAACAATAATACATCACAGGTTCAGTCAAAGTGAAGCCTCAGTTTATCAACCAATGTCAATTCCCAATGATGTAGGCTAAGTGTATTTAGCAACGAGGATCCTCCGCTCTGTGGTATCTTCTGCCTCATTTCGCAATACGTAAGGGTTATGCCTCATACTATGCGTTTCGTATCCCTTTTTTTTTGTTGGACCGTAATGCTCTATCGTGAATCTGTACATAGGAAAGAAAGCATGCCAACGCAATTCTCTCCACCAATGAATGCTGCTCCCAAGGCATACGCCATATTCTGCCCATTCCTCCCACTTCTCCAGTCGCTGCTAAGAAGCAAACGATCGCCTTCTACCTCCTCATGTGCTTCGCACTCTTGTTGGGACGCGCTGCGTACAGCTGTGCCGAGGCCTCCTCCGTCTCAGCGTTATCCAGCAGCTCCGCCACAGTAGGGTTGTCGTTGAAGTGCGTAGGCAGTCCGCCGCCCAGGATGGTTTTCGTTGCCTCGACACGCGCCATGAGAGACCACGAGTCGATGAGTACAACTGTAGAACCTAGACGAAGCTTCTCGCGGTACCCGAATGCGCGGTTCTCGCCGTCGTCGTCGTCGCCCCTGCGGCCCGCGCCGGGATCGGCCTTGGTGCCGCCCGTGTGCGGGTTAAAGGCCGGACGGCTTGCGCTCGAGTAGCCCGGTCCCTTTCCGTGCTCCAAGGACGAGACGATGCTGGTGAACTGCTTGCGCAGGTGTCGTCTGTCCCTGCGCGCCGTCTGCTTGACGGAGGGCTTGGAGGCCTCGGCCATGAGGGCGATGAGCTTCTTGGGGTCGTACTGAAGGTTCATCGGCTCGCCCGTCTCCTCCTCGTGGTCGCGCGCCGCCTCGAAGATGAAGGCGATGTTGAAGCCCGCGCTCGCTTGGACCTCCACGTCGGTGCTGTCGAGTTGCTCCACGAAGGCTTCGATGGCGGAGTAGACGTTCTCGGTGATGTCGTCTACTTGGCTGGCAACGAAGGCCCAGGCCTCGAGGGCGGAGGTGACGACGTCGCCACTGTCTGCTGCGCCGACTGATTCACCGTCGCTTTCCACGATGGTGACTAGGTATTCGAGCAGCTCGCTTGCTGACTCTTCGCCACCACCGCCGTACATCGTTGTGACTGCCATGGCCCAGATCGCGGCCGCCTTGACGTCGTTGTCGTCGTCGTCTTCAAGGGTCTTCTCGAGTTGCGGGTAGATGTCGTCGAACAGGGAGTCTGATGGCGTGGTGAGGAGGGTGGCTGAGAGAGACTTTAGGGACATGAGGCGCTCGAGGAAGCTACCTCCGGACCTGGTGTTCTTCATCAACGCTGTGACGATGTCTTGTAAGGAGTTGCTGACTTGACGGCCGCCGTAGTGGTGTTTGACAAGGTGCAGGTAGGACATCAGGGTCGCCTCGCGTCTCTGGGTATTTGTCCGCTTGCGATCTTGCAGCTCGACGATGCGATCCTGTAGTAATTGCGCCCAGTTGGGTTCTGTTGCCTCGTCCAAAGCGGTATCCGAGTGATTTGACAGGGTGCTCATGGTCATGCCATCATCGTAATCGGAGTCGCTGCCTTCGTCTTCTGAGGCGTAGCGACTACCAGCGCGAGAATGTGCTGGGGAGTTGATCTGAGAGTGGCCAGGAGAGACGTTGGGCGAGTTTCTCATGGAGGCGCGAGCGGACTCGGGGCGTGATTTGGCCTTCTTGGAGACGGTCTTGCCGCTCTCGCGAAGAACCTTGAGTCTGAGGTCGTGCATAGTGGCGACGGTGTAAGGTGGAATGTATGTGTAAGAGTGGTGTGTAGAGTGTAGAGAGAGAGTTGCTGTGAGCGGAACTTCTCGTGGGAGAAGACCTGTATATGTGTGGGTTGCCTGATTTGTGAGAATCGGGGTCTAGGACCTTCTGTGCTTGTAGCGCGGTGGCGTTTCTTTGAAGATGGTGTTGCTTCTAATTGTGTTTTGCGTCCTTCTCCAACAATCCATGGATGGTATTCGGCTTCTCTATATATAGGTCAGGGAGGAAATCCGGAGATAGGTCGAGACGCAAGGGTGAGTGCGTCGAATCCGGAGATAGGTTTGGACCGTACAAGTTGGTGATTACCTAGCGGCTCGACGAGTATTTGAGAGAGTTCAAAGGACACCGCGGAAACTGGAAACTGAAAGATGGGCTTCGTGAGTCACCAGACCAGACCGTCTTTTCGGAGGTGAGGAGGAGCTTGGGATTTTTTAGGGCAACGGTTGAAAAAAAATAAGTTGTGGAGGGTCGGAGAAGAGTGGTGAAGGTGGTGGGTGGCAGCGATAGAAGAAGAGGGTGGCATTCACATTTCATCAGAGGGGAACCCTTGATTCACCAAGGATGCCTGTCGGGTGTCGCACAGGGATCGCAGAAAAAGAGCGAGCGAGCGTTGTGGATGACGAATGACGAAAGAGACTTTTCAATCGTGTGTAGGGCGAGACACGCAGCTGGATGCAAGGTTGAGCTCGGGGACAAAGCAGCAGGATGGACAGGAACGGCGGCAGCGGCAGCAGAACATCCGGCAAACAAAAATCCAGACATCAGGCGCATTTTGCCCCTCCATTTCTGACATACTTGTACTGCGTATTCATGCGTACTGCGTAAGGATACATCAGTCAACTTTTGTCACTCCACACGCTCGAGGTCAAGGACTCCAGGATGATGTCTTCCTGTGGGGGCAAAGTGGGCGTGGTCTGTCCGCTCGCGCATTCCTGGGAGGTACCCCTGTAAGCAGATCATCCCCCGTCCTTGGTTACGTGGTTGCGGACGGAGTGTGGTCCTCCACTCACTGTTGAACTTCTGCCCGTTGAACCGTAGTGTTCCGCATTCGAGGGAGAAAGAAAGCCATGGATGACTGTGATGTAGCTTGTTGCTTGCCTTAGGTAGGGAGTTACTGCGTATGGGGAGAACATGGGGCCATTCGGGATTGTGAGATGGATGGGAAACAGATACGCATACAGGCGAGTTGAAGTGAACCCAGCCGGCATCATCTGACCGTTTCTAAGTCTAGACATTCAAGGGCGGCGCCAGTGAATCCCCCCCATCCCTGGTCTTTCACCCGCCGCCTAACCAGATTCGTCTGGATCTCAACTCGTCCCTGTGGCTTTTGTTAGCGATGGGCATGAAGGGAACCAGTGACAGTTTGCGACAACTCAGGCCACCCGGTGACAGATGAGCAGATGCAACCCAATCTGCCCCTAGGTCAACATTATGTCGATAAGGCAGGACAAAAATACCTATTGTCATGCGTGAGGTACACGACCAGTAGGCCTCAGCCGAAGCACGACTGTATCGTCCGCCTCGAGCAGACGTGGAGTAAGGCACATCGTCTGTCGCTCAATACTACTGCTGCCAAGGTACTTTCACTATTCTTTGTTATCATCATTTGTATGTTGATGAGAAAATACTCTTTGAAAAGCGCAGTATGATAGTCATAATTACAGAATAATTCCAAGAAGGGAGGTACCTGTGTGTTGGCGTGTTCAATCACCGGGTTGGCACCTTGAGGTCTGTCAGGTGCTTCCTTAGGCCAAAAGATATGCAAGGGTGAGCGTGAGGTAGGTACGGATAAGGTAGGCAGATACCTTGGGAATTCTGCAAAGCAAAATTGGAGAGCGCGCAGTTGCGCAGATTGGGCTCGGCGACGTGGACGGTAGGAGCTGGCCCGGGTTTGAGGATCGGTAGGTAATTTACCAGAGTGACAGAGGCTGAGATGGCTTTTCTCAACTGAGGTGTTCGACCAGGTTGATGAGAAAGCCATGAGAGTCACAAGCGTGAATAGCTACTTACACCACACCAGAGCGGGCCTCCCTTAATATTGGTTGGTACAACCTTGACGAACTACTTTATCCTTGGCCGTTAGGACCGCTCTATGCCGTGCAGTCTGTCGCCCTGAGGCTATCTATGGCTGCCCTAGATTATACAGAGGCAAAGTCCGACCTATCTGACAGTCATGGTGACTTTGATGCGTTTTATGCCTTTCTGAGCTCTGAGGTATCTCGAGAATTTGAGGCAAGGCAGCGGGAAGGTACATCTGTTGACCCCGCTGGCCTCCTTCACATTCCAGCTGTCAGGTGCCATGTGGTGAGGTCTAAGGTGTGCCCCTCTTTCCTAATCCCGTCATCACTAAATTGGAACGCCCCGAGCCTGATCTCAGACACGCACTGTGCATCTCTGGCGGACCATTCGAGGCAACGCAACTCACAGTCAGGTTCACCAAGGTACGAATCATCGGTCTTACCTTACCTTAAGCTGCCCAGTACCTTCGAAGGCAGCCCGGGAAGGAACAACTGAGGAGGTGGTCTTACCTTCCTTTCGTTTGGAGCGACCGGAACTCGAGCCATCGATTTCATGGTTCGCAGGCAGACCTTGTGCTCTCTCTCACTTCCCAGCTTCACTCTTACTTACCTACCCTCCACCTACCTTACCTACTCTCCATCCTATCAGCTTCGACACTACACTTCCACACTTCCTACCTTACCGCTATCGAGGTAAGTGGACGTGCCGGGACTGTTCGGACCTCACAACCTCGCTGCTGATAACCCCACCAACCCACCTCACTACCAGACGCCTTTCCCCACTGCACTTGCCCAAGACCCCGATATTCCCCCTGCAACCTGCCCCTTCCGCGCACCAAGCCGAGTGCGATAAGGCGTTATCGCTGCCTGCACTGCCGCGACTGCCTGATACCGAACAGTGACAACACGGTGCCTGCTCCGGATTCCTGCCCCACTTCGTCCACCTCGGCGACCTCGACTTCCAACTTACACTGTCTCGTTCCTCCTGCCTTACCTTTCTGTCTCCCTCCCGCCTACTCCATGCCCGCTCATTAACTTCAGCCCGCGAAGGAGAGGCTTTACTTTAGTCACTTCTCCCTCCTTCACAGCAACACCGTGGGCACCCAAGACAAACTTCCATCCTCCATCACAATTACCATCGCTCTCGGGAGCTCCTCATCGCCCTCGTTCTCTTCTTTAACCCACTCTCGCCAGATCACGGATACAGTCGAGAAGACGTTGACAAGATGGCGACGGGCGTGAAGCCTCAAGCGGAGGACGGTAAGCTCGACACTCCCATTTCGCTTCCCCCTCCGAATGATCAGTCCTGACAAAATCATGGTCTAGTTCTGCTCACCGTCTCCGTCCAATATCCAAACCCCGAGTTTCACTTCCCGGAGCGACGGGTTATCCTCGAACAGAAGCACCCAAGCGTTGTGAACATCGGCCGGACAAGCAAGCGATTTTCCAACTTGGAAGCAAGAGCGGATAACTGCTACTTCGACAGCCCGGTGATGTCCCGGGAGCATGCGAAAATCACCGTCGACTGGTATCACAAGGTATGCCCTCTACTTGAAACATATTTACGCTGACTGCTAACACAACGACTAGAAACTATTCGTCAAAGACGTCGGCTCGCTGCACGGAACCTACCATAACTCTCTAAAGCTGTCTCCATATACAGCGAAAGAGCTGGCAAGGGGCGACATAGTCAAGTTTGGGATTGACATTCAACGGTCCAATGACCTCTTTCCCCCGTGTACGATCCAGGTGGACTGGGAATTCGACCACCTAGCCAAAGCCAAAGCTTCAGAGCTCAGCGGTCGCCCAACCTTTTCCGTCCCCGATGATTCCGACTCAGAGAGTAGCGACGAAGACATGTCTACTACGGACGACATCCGTGCCACCGTCGAGAAGATTCGCAAGATCGAGATGCCTAAATCGACCACAGGCTTGGCTGGTTCCTTTCCCAGCTTCATTCCTCCGGGGGTGGAGCCAATTGTCATCGACGAAGATATCCAGAAGGATACAGATAAGCCCTCCGAACGCGCTCCCAACGCCACGCAAGATCAGGAGGTGACGATTGAGCTGGATGCTCCGTACGACGAAGAGGAAGACGAGGATATGCCCTCCAGCCATAGAATGAACTCGAAACTCCCTCTGGTATTCGCATCGGAGTCAGAATCAGAGGATTCTTACGATGACGACGAGTCCGAAAGCTATCCCGATGATGAACCTTCGAGCCAGGAAATGCCCGACGCTTACGACGATGACATCTGCCTCAGCGACTCCGAGACTTCCGAGCACAGTGACGACGCTGAAGCCGACAGCGTCTTTGAGAGCGAGAGCGAAGATGAGAACCTGACAAGAGCTCCAAGCTATGACGAGGCTAAGGACATGGCAGCCGCTTGGGAAGCCCAGGATCCTTCTCTTACCTTCACGCAATCGCAACAAATGCTCAGCATTCCGCACGCAAGCTACTTCCCTCAGCCAGATGCTGGTCGCCATTTCTTCCCCGCGCCTATGCCGTCACTCCCTTCTATCATACCTTATGTAGGTTTGCAAGAACAAGGACGACAGAACGACCTCAGACTGCCGTCGATATTGAACCCTTCGGATGATCACGTTGAGAATCCCTTCTTAGCTGACATGAACCCCGAGCAAATGCACACGTCTGCACCGACGGATTACCTTCTTCAAAGCGAAGGAGTAGCACCACTTCGTGCTTCATGGGATCGGGTCCCAAATACTCCCAAGGTTGTCACTGCCACGGAGTCTCTAGCGTTCTCCCAGGACGATGGGCCATCAGCTGAAGCCCTTGGCCAAGCTACTGGAAAGCCGGAGTTTTTCGCAGCCAGGGAGGTCAATAAGCAAATCTTGCGCCGCAATGAGCAAGATAACGATACAACCCCAGTCCAACCTCGCAGCCAGGTTCCCGAGCCGCCTGCGACTTCCACTGAGCCATCTACGTCAAAGCTTGGGCACCACATTACCTCCGATGCAGCCACCGCGCCGGAGCCGGTAAATGAAACGCCCAAGTCGGCCAAAGTGGCCGAGTCGGCCTGGTCTAGTTCTGGGGAGAAATTCCTCAATAGTCCTCAAGACTTCCCTCTTACATACGCAATGGAAACTCCCGAGCTTGATATGACCAGTGCATATCAGTTCCAGCAAAGCAAGTTGGGCTCACTGGCACAGACTGAGGATACTTCACTGAATATCCCTACCGGGGAGAAGGCTACTCCAAAGCGTAAGGCTAGTGAAATCTCAACGCTCACGCCTCATGAGGAGACGATCGAGGCGGCTGTGAAAAGCGCTGAAACCGGGGCGCAAATAACGGCCGAACAGCCCATAGTTGTTTCTGTGGTTACAGAGCCGACACCAGAAGCACCCCCTCCCCCTAAGCGTCTGCGAAGCTTTTTGAGCAAGGCTGGGTACTTCGTTGGTGGCGGCGTGTTGACTGCGGCAGGTGTCGTAACAGCACTTGCTGCAACCGCCCCTGCTCTTTGACGACTTAATTTAGGCGTTCTTCATCTTCATCTTCGACTTAAGGCTTGGTTTGATTTCTCGAGAGGGAACTGGATCGGAACGGGCTCGACCATTTAGGTCTACCCGACTGACTGTTAGTCGCGGCGTTGAGAGCTTGCGGGATCTGGATTTGAGAATAAGGAAGTGATGGGACGGAACGATTCAAATTTGATGATGCTTCGGTTGAGAGGGCGGCCGGGGAGGACAACTCGATCAGGACTGGTGGGGCGGGTTTTCTTA